CGCGGGTCCGACCTCCTCTTCCCCGCCGGGGTCTCGGTGCGCGGCGCCCTCCTTGCTGCCCGGGCGGCACCGACCCCGCCGCCGCTGCCCCTCAGGGTGATCCTGCGGTTCCCTGTCTTGTCTCGGGCCCTTGTAATTCGAGGTAATGCATCGCCTGTGCTTCCGGAAGGGGGGGGGAAAAAACCCCAAACAAAAAACAACTGGGAGCGTGGCCCGTGGCGCTTTGTTTGCAGACAAAGGAAGGCCTTGTGTTTCCATGCAGGAACCGTTGCGTGGTTCCTACCCCTTCTTGAACTGTCATGCTTAAAAAAAAAAAAAAAAGAAAAAAACCAAAATAACAAAAACACTCCCACAAAACCTTACAGGATGGATGTTCAACGTACTCTGAGCAAATAATGAGCTTTATGTGCGGTGCCTACCCACGTGCTGCCTTCCCCACACGATGTGTTCCCTGACAGAGTTTGGGGTGGTTTTAGATGTGTGTAGCTGTGATAAAGTAGAATTTTAAATACATAACAGAAATAAAGCTCGTTATCCATAATACTAGTTATCTGAAGAAAAACTACCGGATTTCTTTTGAGGGGAGGGACTTAGGCATATATGGAATCTCAAAAATTTTCCTTTTTTTTTTTTTTTTTGTAGGGGTTTGGTTTAAGTAAAAGATGGACTGGAGTGGAAAACATAATGGGCCAAACGATACAACTAATGATGGAACAGTGGTACGACTTCGAGGCCTGCCATTTGGTTGCAGCAAAGAAGAGATTGTTCAGTTTTTCCAAGGTACCTCTAGTGTAGTCAAAGTATAGTGACTGAGTTTTCTTGTATCTTTTATGCAATGTTTTGCACATTTTAATTTGTAATAGCTGTTAATGGGGTGGATGGGAGGGATTGTGTTAAATTAGTTTATTTTACGTAAGAATTATGCCCTGTAAATGAAGTACAAATAACCATAGATGATGTAAAACACAGTATGTATCTAATTTGTCAAGGTGGTAAACATATTATGCATATATTGGGATAACCTCAATGTTAGCATTTGGATCGGTTAAATTGCTTGATTGGTAGCTATATTTTCTTCATGTAACTTAGGTGGTTGTATTTTTGCATAGTTTAAACAGAAAAGAAGTATGGCTAAATCCATAAATGTTTAATGAAAGATCATTGGCTTGTATTGTTGGGTGATGGGGGAAACAAGGTGGTTTTCTTTTTCGTTGTTGTTGTTTAGATATGCTTTAAGTATTTGCTACAGATGGGAATGTTTCAGCCTTTAACACTGTTCCCCTTGATGGGGTTATTTGTCCTTGGGTTAAAGGGTTGGAAATCGTGCCAAATGGGATAACATTGACGCTGGACTACCAGGGGAGAAGCACAGGGGAGGCCTTCGTGCAGTTTGCTTCAAAGGAGATAGCAGAAAATGCTCTGGGGAAACACAAGGAAAGAATAGGGCACAGGTGGGGATGGAGAGTTTGGGATGGTGTTAAATCTTTATTTTTGGGGGTTGTGGGTCAGTAATGCTTTTGGGGGGGTTGGGGACCATTATATGGAACTGGCTGTTTTTAAGAATTTTTATAACTGATCCTAAGTTAACTTGGGAAATACAGTAGATTTGGGGGGTGGGGGAGACAGTATTGCTCTGGGTAGTTTGCTAAACTCAGAAAATTGTTTCAATCGTTCTTGTGTAGGGTAATTTGTGATAAATGCTACTATAGCTAGACATTGTTTTTCAACAGTATGTTTCTCATACTGGAAAGACATGTTTTATGCTTAATTTGTACAGCTAGAATTTTCACATAGTAATTTTTGCCACTGTAAAGTGTTTTGTTTTGGTTTTATACACTTAAGATTCTTACGGTTTTGAGGAGAAACTTAAGTTGTATGGTATCTCTAGTCACTTCTATTGGATTGTACGTTTAGTTCTAGAAAACGTAGTATGGCCTTTTATACTATTCAGACAGCTTATGCGTGTATTCTTATTGGTACCTTGAAAATCCTCTTTTATTAGATATATTGAAATCTTCAAAAGTAGTAAGAGCGAAATCAGAGGATTCTGTGACATGCCAAGAAGGATGATGGGACAACAACGACCTGGACCATATGATAGACCATTAGGAGGAAGAGGGGGTTATTATGGAGCTGGGCGTGGAAGTATGTATGACAGAATGCGTCGAGGAGGTGGTGGATATGACGGTGGTATGTTTATCTAATGAATGGAGGTTCTGTTGTCAGTTTCATGTTTCTGACATCTTTGTCAAGAAATAAAGAAATGGCAGTAGCTGCAGTACCCATTAGGTTTGACACACTTCTCTCAAAAAATTTTTACTTGTAATGTATCAAAAAATGTGGCTTAGTGTTTAAGATTAAGGGAAGTAATAAGGAAACCGTATTTTCAGCAGAATTTGATCTCTCACTTGCATGTTTCAGTCTTTTTACTATATCAAAGGAATTTTACATTTGCGCTCTGTTCAGAAATCCAGGTTTAACAGTCTGTAGAGGCTGTTAGCAAACTTCTGGGTGCCCAAAGATTGAAAAATTGGCTTTTGTGCGTTGCTTGGTGAATTTTCAGTAATAATGTAATCATTCCTTTCTTTCTCTCCATTGCACAGGATATGGTGGCTTTGATGATTATGGTGGCTATAACAACTACGGCTATGGAAATGATGGCTATGATGACAGAATGAGAGATGGGAGAGGTAAAAAAAAAATTTCATTGTTTGTTTAGAAAGATTTTTATATTATTTGAGTTGTAAGACTTAGTATTTCCAAGACAGAAATAATCACTTTCTTCATTAGATTATTTTGTAAAGAAAGGAGGTTGTTTAAAAAAGGGGGGGAATTGGGGAATCTTGGGAAAGTGTAAATATATTGCTTAGGATATCTTCTGATTAAGTGTTTGGGTTGATAGACAGGAAGTGTAAACATCTTGCATTCAGTGGCATAAAGTGAGTGCTTTCAGAAAAACAGTAGTAATCACTTTTCTGGCTTTTCATGATCTTACAGGTGTGTGGTTTTATTTGGTTTGGGTTTTTTAATAGGCATGGGAGGACATGGCTATGGTGGAGCTGGAGATGCAGGGTCAGGTTTCCATGGTGGCGGTCATTTTGTTCACATGAGAGGACTGCCTTTTCGAGCAACAGAAAACGATATTGCTAATGTAAGTACAGTGGGGAAAAGGGCTTTCTAATGCCAAGAGTTTGCATGTTCTTGTCTTCCTTATTCCAAACTCAGTTAAAATTCTCAAGCAAGTGATTGATAGCTCTAATACAGCTGCTAACTAAAGTCACAGCCCTTTATGTGAGTTTTACAAAGCTTAGTAGTAAATGAGCTTTTATAAAGGTAATTACTGAAGAAGTCAGCCAAACTATATTTAATATTAATCTCTCTACTCTGCTCTTTCATTTCCATAAAAAGCGTACTGGAGAGAGAACAGTTGTTGCAATCAGCACCCTCATTTTAAAGCTTTCAGAAGTTTGTTTAAGCTTAACTGAAGATTAATAATTTTGTAAAAGAGCAATAGCAGATGTGAAACTTTGGTTGTAGTTTGTATATTTGTTTATTGACCTGAGACTTGTTTTAGGAGGGACAGGGTGGGAAGACTGTAGGGAGCTGTGTTCAGCTGGAGGGGACAGTATCCCGTTACTCGTAAGAGATCAGGGTGGCAGATAAAAGCAATGTCTGCAAGATTTTGGGAGTACGTTCTTGCATCAGTATACATGTTTGTAGGGGAAAAAGTTTTCCTGGGATATAAGGCCTGGTTTAAATATAGCCTCTCTACAGGGGGGCTCCATCCTTACTAGTTGGCGCCTATATATTATATTATATAGGCAGAACTCCATTCTTAAGCTTGTGCTTGTTTTCTTTTTTGTTTTGTTGTTGTTGTTGTTGTTGTTTGGGGTTTTTTTAATTGAGCTAGATTTTCTTCTATCAGTTTGATTGTTTTCTTTAGTCTTAAAGACTCTCGGAGAACGAGGGCCAAACTTCAGGCTTTGATTCAGAGCATGTTACTGCAAGTTGATGAGTAGTACTTCAGTAGTATACCAAAGGTTCCTTTGCACATACTGTTTGGTAAAAAGGCTGTTAGTCAGAAATACCACTGTATTTCTTTGAGGTCTGTAGCAAGGAAGAATGGTCTGATTGACAGCTTTTTTTGAATTCCATAAATATGTCCTTGCTTCAAGAAATTTATTTGGCTCTGCTTCTTCAGAAACCAAGTATTCATTTTCCTTTTCCAGGATGGCATCATATTAGAACTTGTTGCTTAAAGCAGCGTGTGTGAGCAGGAATTTTTGTTTGTATCTTTGCTTTTAAAGAAAGCTCCTTAAGCTCTGTAGCTGGAGCTCTTCAAGTTGTGTAATAATAATAAATTGTAAGTGTAGATGGACCTGATGTTGAAGGTCAACTATCACTAAGTAATACTTTGGAAATTAACAGTTAAATTTATGTGGTAGGATGAGATTAAATTAATGCAGTGCTCCACTAACCACTGTGGGATGAAAAAAAAGTACCTGGCTTGAGTTCTGCATCAGTGTGATTTTTTTGTTTGTTTGTTTTTATTCTTAGTTTTTCTCACCATTGAATCCTATAAGAGTTCACATTGATATCGGGGCAGATGGAAGAGCCACAGGAGAGGCAGATGTGGAATTTGTGACACATGAGGATGCAGTAGCTGCCATGTCCAAGGATAAAAATCATATGCGTGAGTGTCACGTTCACCTGAAGCTTTCATTGACTAGGCTTTAGCGGGGTATATAAAGGTCTAAACTGCATTTAACTTAAGCTGCTGTGCAGTAAATAGACAAATCATAAGCCTTTTTACCATTTATCACACTTCAAACTCACTTCCTGTTGGCTTCTAACTGTTACTTGTAAGGTGAGGGGGGTTTTTTTGCTTTGTATCTCTGTGCTTCTGGTTTCTGAAAAAAAATACAAAGTAAGGCTTTTTTGTTTCCTACAGAGCATCGATATATTGAACTATTCCTGAATTCAACTGCTGGAGGTGGTTCTGGAATGGGAGGCTATGGCAGAGATGGAATGGGTACGCATCAATCCCAGATTTAGCTGACATTTTGCACAGTCTAATGAGTTCCAAGCCTGTAACGATGCACTTTCTGTGTTTCAGATCAAGGTTATGGCTCTGTTGGTAGAATGGGAATGGGTAGCAATTACAGTGGCGGATACGGAACTCCTGATGGCTTGGGTGGATATAGTAAGTAAAAGTTCTGTTTTAAATGCATTTTGTGAAAGTGTTGCTACATCCGTCTTCTGATGGGTGATCGGGAAGGGTGGTGGGCTTTGTGTGCGGTGGAGTATTTGTGCTGGGAGAAAGGGAAGGAGGGTGGCGGCTTAATTTAAACTGTAAATCGCTTGGGTTTTTCATGCATTTTGCTACTGCAGCAAATGCTTGCTTAGAAAAATACTGCTGAAGTATTGTTATTTTAGTAGAAGTTAAGTCATCTTCAACCAACTGTTCCGTATTACCCATCACGTTTTTTCTTTTTTTAAGGTATGTATGCGTGACCTTGTGTCAATTGTTTGCAGGTCGTGGCAGTGGAAATAGTGGAGGATACTATGGGCAAGGCAGTATGGGTGGAGGAGGATGGCGTGGAATGTATTGAAGGGTAGCCTTGCTTCTACAAAACATCCTGGAAGAAACAGTCTCTGGTCTACTAGACTTTCTTACAAAATTTAATTTCTTTTGTATTTTAAGAACTTTATAATGACTGAAGGAATGTGTTTTCACAATATTATTTGGTAAGCAACAGATTGTGATGGGGAAATCTGTTTTCTGTAGGTTTTATTTGTTGCATACTCTGACTTTAAATAAATTTTTATATTCAAACCACTGATGTTGATACTTTTTATACTAGTTACTCCTAAGGATGTATTACATATTCAAGACTACAGTCGGTTTAAGATGTTGTACTATGGTTCAATAAAGGTGGTTGTACTGTAACTCCTATGAACACTGATTCAGTTCTATGTAATCTTGGTGTAGTGAATGAGTTTGGAAAATTCACTTGTTTAAGGGGGAAAGGGTAGATGAATAGATCGGTTTATTTGGTAACAGTCCTTCCTAAACCCTTTTGATAAGTTGTATGTAGTAATCTCTACACAGCGTAAAGCTGTGGAGGCTAAGTCATCGCTCTGGTTTTCTTCCTTGTACTATCAGAATCTGCCATCATCTTCAAATGCACAACTGCATAAACAAGTAGTGCCCAAGGTTTGTGCCTCCCCAAAACCAAGCAACGATGTTTATTTCCATGCTTTGCTGTAGCACCCTAGATACTACTGCATTTCACACGTGTAACTTGCAAAGCAAACTAAAACACTAGCGCAGCTTTAAGCTAACATGAAATGGGTCTAATACTAATTAATTTGAAGTTATCTATCTACATAGTTTGTTTGGTTTGTTTTTTTTTTTTCACAAACGCTGCTTTTGGGAAGAGCCAGGGATCTGGAAGCAAGTTAGACTTTTTTTCCTTCATGAAATTGTATTTAAACATGATTCAGTCTTTTTGCTGCACAGAGCTGATTTGTCTGTATTTGTTCAAAACTTGACAAGCCATTCTATGGATGAGCTCGTTAGAAGCAAAGTATCTCTAAAATAACTATATGCCCAGTACTTGTTAAATAACACACAACCCAAACACGTTGATAAAACTTTTTGTGCATTTGTGACATGTAAGATATGTAAGAAACTATTGTTTGAAGACACTTAACATACCTGATGTGTAATGAAAAAAGGTATTTATTCTTCTGAGCCAGTGTGATCTCCCAAATTAACTGCTTTGTCCTCAATGCCTCCCTTAAAATGTCAAATGTGATCTTGGGTATTAAAAGTCTGTCACCTGTTTTGCTAGTACTGTGTTACCTATGTAATAAATGTCTTGCTGTGGGAGAGAGGAGAATGGAGTTTATTTCACTAGAGAGCGTGTTCTTGTGTCAAAGTGACTGGAAATCATAGCTGAGAGGGTAATTGGCATAGGAAGCTTTCCAAGTACTGGAATATTTTTGGATAGGAAGGGGAGGGAAGATGAGACCTTAACACCAGTGATCTTACAGAGCTTTGCTTTAATGCGGTACTCTTAAAAACTAGTGGGTTCTTGGTCTGTCGCTGAACAAAAGCTTGTGTGTTTCATAAAACTTAAGATGGCAAAGGTCAGGACAAGAGTTAATCCAGTTGCAGGAAAAAAATATGTTGCAGTAAGGTAGAGGACATCTGCGCTTAGTGGAAGCATGCTTTTTTCTGTCAGCATAGCAGATACCTGTAAAATACTGTCGTCGGCTCTGTACCATTTCGTCACTCCTCAGGTATACTTTGCGTTCCATTTTAGGAGAAGGAATGCTAACACCTGCTTAAGACTTACCTCTTGAGAGCAGGTTGGGAGTTACGCTTCCAGCTATTTTGTATAACCAAGCGATCTGCAAAAAGTACACTGAACTTGAGTCTTGACGAATGAAATCCCACTGAACTGGACAGCGAATCCCTTCAGCCTGTCCTGTCCCTTCCATAGCGACACTTCACCCTGTAACAAGAGCAGCATTCAGCGTTGAACCTTGCAAGTCGCTTAAGCTGCATTTAAATTGCAGAGGAATTGGTTTTTGAGAAGAAAACCTATGAGCGTGGACTGCTCAGTCAGTGAGGAGGACTTAATCACTGTATACAAAGTTGTATTTTAGCCCTTGCTGTGAAGAGGACAAGGAGTTGAAGTGCCTGCTGAGACCCGCTGATGCTAAGCGGTTGTGTGATGAACGCTAGGAATCAGCCAAGTTTTCCCCTTGCTTTCAGGGAAGCAGGTGCAAATACGGTAAGTGAGCCACCTTTGCGAGAAGGTGGGCACAGCTCTCATGATCCCTGCATGGCGAGGAAGAGCAGCATGTTTTTCTCTGTTTACTTGCTAATGCCCCCAGTTCATGAAGTCAGAAGTCATTTCCCAAGAAGAATACAAACCAGGCTGCTCAGATACTGCGTGAACAGTTACAGTTTCTTTTGATGACTGGAGTAGGTACCCCACAGCTCTCCCTCTGCTCAGTGTGAGGAGGATTTAGAATCACAATCTGTCAAAGAACAGGGTTTTCCAGAAAGACAGAGGATTAATAGTGTGGTCCAAAAAACTACTGAAAGCAGGCCGGGTACGTAGTTTGATGCTAAGGGAAATAAAACATAGGACATACAGTATTCACCATTTTGCTCAAGGCAGAAGTTTTAGAGTAAGTAAAGGCAATCTGAATAATTACACACTACCTCAGTGACATTTTCCCATGCAAATAGGGCAGCACAGAGGAGAGGAAAAGATTGCCGTTAAGTAACAGAAATTTAATTTATTGCATGTTACGGAAATGCGCTATATTCTTATTTTAAAAGATTGCCTGTTTTAATTTTGTTTAGTTGCATACTTTTTGAAAAGTTACTTATTAAAGCAGTACAGATCAGCATCATCTATATCCTAGATCCAAACCCTGCTGCCTCCATGCCTGCCCCACATAAAGCCTACCGGAAAACACACTCGGAATACTTTCAGGAGGCATGTGAGCAAGCGCTTGGTTTGTTACATCATTAGCAGGGTAGGTCCCCACTCCCCAACGTATGCAAAGACTTTCTAAGCAACCTGAACAAGTCATAATAAAATACTCAAAAATACTCTGAATGACAAATTTAAATAAAGTGACATTGTTCCCATAGTTAAGTTGCAGATCAATTGAATTTATTTTTTTCCAAAAGCTATTTACAGATTTACAAGTGTTTGTTTTGTATTTTACAAAAAGTTACATCAGGTAATCTTAAAAACATTTTTCTTTACAAAAGCTACATAAGCAACTACATTGAGGTGTTAAAAAGAACAGCTGCATTAGCTTTTAGAATACTAAGTAAATACCTATCCTCAAAAGACAAAGCTAAGCTAAACAAAGTGCAAGAACAATTAAAAGACCTGTTTCAAAGCCTCCCTTTTCCTGTCAGTAAGAATATGCCAAGCCCATAGCTGAAGGAACTAGCGGGCTGGCAATTCTGTTGATGGCTCATCAGTGCTGACCAGAGCGTGCGGATCCCACGGCTGGGCCCCATGGCATGAGCGGCTAAAGGGAAGAGGGTAGATTGGTTCTAGTGCAGTGACGTGGAAGTGAGGACAGTTTATCAAAGGATGTATTTGTATTTGCCTACGGGAAGAATACGGATTTACATTCCAGCAGAAGTTACTATCAGTGTCAAGAGTGGTCAGACCTAGACATACTCAAAAGTACTCTGGAAAAAAAATGAAGTTTAGGAACAAACTCTCAGAGTTTGAGAAAGATGATGACAAAATAAGGAAGAACCTTCCTGTCCAACGCAGAAAGGATGCGGTCCCCAGTATTTAATCCTCGTCTTTCTTGGTGGCAGATTCACTCTGCTTCTAGAGCTATACAGTGACTCCATGTACAAGCTTGAAAGCATGACTTATATGAAAATAATGCAAAGGTATTTGTTCAAGGTTACAGAAAATGTCAGGCAAAAATTTTGTGATGGACATCTCTCTTTTAATGGAAACATGGATAGGTCAAATTAATAGTTAATTTTAAAAAATAATTCGGCAAAATGCACCTTCCTTCATCAAGTGCCTAGAGGCACTGTTTGTTACCTGTCTGACAAAATCTTCCCTTATACCTGTGACTACAGAGTTGTCAGTGCAATATTCTTGGATGTATCAAATCTTGATAATTTAGGGGAAGTAAACAAATATGGTATTTGGCAATAACTTACCGGACCACTGCATTAATTGCATTATTTTTTTTAAATACAATTTAAAACTAGCTACTGCACAGTTTTGCTTCACAACAGCACATCACAGGCCCATTCGGCAGCAGAATTAGGTTGGACTTGTTGCAGACTAGCCTGTAAAAGCAGGTAAGTGTATCACCTTTTTCAAGATCATCATAACGACCAAGATACTCATCAAATACATGTTAACACTGAGTCTCCTCTATAAACTGCCCTGCTTCCTCCAAAAGAGCTTCTGAGCTATTTGTTAAGACTAAAAAATACAGATGACAATGTAACACATGCATTTTCTACACTTGGGTGCCATTTTCTCTACTTGTTTCAACAGGAAGCAGACAAGTAACTCCTCCATGATACCTTGAAAATGCAACTCTAAACTGCTTACCTGAAATTCTGGAAATACTGCTGTACATTCTGTAGTTGGGTTGGGGTTTGTTTTGTTTTGTTTTTACAGGATTAGCTAAATACCAAAAAGTAATAAATATCTTGTAAAATAATCTTATGGCACATTAGAAGAGCACCTCTGTATAAGCATTGCATGGCAGGAATCGCAGACCCGAACAGGCTTTGGTGAAGAAGGCAGAGGCAGTTCATTGTCGGAACAGGCATTACAGAAGATCTCACCACAGTTTCTACAATGATGCTAAATAATGGGGAGAAGATTGAAAATTAAAATTTACAATGGAAATATACTTGGTAATTGGATACCAATAAACAATATGCACAGAGCAATCCGAAATGTGATTCCTTCCACTTCTTTGGTCTGAGCATGGAATCAGTTTTCAAAAGATAATTCAACTAAATCCCAATCTATGATGCAATCCTAGACAGACCATGGTAGGTAGGTAGATAGATAGATAGACAGACAGATGGACTGTCTAGGACTGTATATATTTGTATTTTTTTATACTTTTTTTTTTATATATATCTATATATATGCTTTGCAGATTTCATTCAATCCCTGGATTAAGAACATACTCGTGCTATATAAAAATATAATATAAGCAATGATATTCAAGACAGTGGATGATTCTGTCAGGTAGCTAACTGAGATTTAACATAAAAATTCCTGCACACATTAATAAAGCATGGAAATTAACATCACATTTTACTTTAAAATGACAATAAACTCATAATTTCTTAGTCTATTGTATAAAAAAATGCCATAAAAAGACTTCCACATGTGTCAAATTCTAACAGTGCCAGAGCTGACAAGCGTTTGAGACGATGATTTCACAAAGTAGGTTGAATAATTTTTAAGTATGTTCCTTTGTGGCAGTTCACCAAAAAGCAGTGTTTCTTTTGAAATTAGGGCCCAGCTGCATTGTACATATCAAAGAACTAGAAAGATGCATTCATCTGAGTGTTGACATTTCATGCCACACCTCTAAGATAATTAATGCTTTCTTCATCACACATGTAAACAAGTTGGAAGAAATTTCGTTAAAGTTTTACCTTCCTTTTGGAAAGAGAAAATTCCTTTTCACATAACTTGCAATGTGTAGCCTCTTTGTCCTTCAACCAAACCTGGCCCTGGAGAAAAAATGATCATAACTATATGTATCTGATAAAGTTGAACTTTGGGTTACAGGGGACAAGACAAATCAATAGCAGTACATTTACTGCCTGAATTCCTTAATGCCCCGAGACCAGTATAATGTCACAAAGACACTCTAAAGCAGTACAAGACTGCTCCAAAACCCTGCAAAACCTTATGAGACAAGACAAAGCAGGAATAGGTGCAAAGAGAACGTGCTCGAGGTAGTAAAGCTGGTCAATGGCTGAGCTCAGAAAAGCAGAAAGGTATCCAGGTCTCAGAGCTGAAGCCCATTTCCCCACCCATCACATAGGAACAGTCCCCAAGATGCAGGGAAGCAAAACAAACAGGACAGTGTCAAGAACTGTTAATTCCCTTCTGTCTAAACTAATTAATAAAACCAGGAATCTGCTCAATAAAACCATTTCAGACACCTTTACTTGGACTGAAATAATACGCAAGGTGACATACCACGTGATCAAACGTGCAGACAAAATCTCTGCTCTCAAGTGCTCCCTGCATATCTTTAAGAAAGTTCCAAACCTCTTGACATTACAGATAGTATTTTATCAGCTTTGGTGCTACAAGTTTACTTAATTCCTAGGATGATCAAATATTTATTGATCACTGAGAAGTACTACATAATTTAAGCTCAGTTGGCTACATATTCTGTCCCAGATACACTTTGTAAAATATAGAAGGGTGTACCATTGCAAGAGAAGTGTCAGAATGCATAGCTGTACATCAAACAAGAAAAATCAAAAGCAACTGAGTATCTTTTTTCCCCGTGAGGTCACAGGGAGTCTGTGGTTCTCTCCCACTGGAGGAAATCATACAATGAGTCTCTTCTGAATAGTTGCTGTTGGAGAGAAGTCTTCTCACGCTTACAAAGTATTTCAAAGGGAACAGTCAAAAAAAAAGTTTCTCTTTCCTCCAAATACTACTAACCTGCAATGCTTTGTTCGCTTCTTTTATATCTTCTATTTTCAGCTTTGATCTAAAGAATAAGATAAAGCTATTTCAAACTTCTATATTGTCAGTTACGGTCTAACAACTTTAAAAGTTGTAGGTACTTAAAAACTTCTAAGCAAAGTACTCTGAACTTTTAGTTAGTATTTTATATTACGGCAGCATCCAGGAGATGCAATCAATATCACGCCCTGCTGTACTAAGCACTACACAAAGACAAGCTCTCTCCAAAGAGCTCAGAATCCTTTGAATGGCTGTAAATTTGCTTGGGGTTACGTGGATAAGAGAAATTTGTACCAGCATAGCTCTGTGCAAATACCTAAAGCTAGTGCACAGCATCGGTACAAAACCAGAATTTAAACTTCTGGTCTTGTACAAGACCACATCATGTCATTATGGAGAAACCGGCCTCCCCACAGCCATCCAGTGCCAACCCACTCAGAAGACTGAGTCACAGAATATATACTAAGTTACTCTATAGGGCATGAAAGTCCACACTAGTCACTGCAAAAGTACTTAGAAGACAGAGATCATTAAATGAAACTTCAACAACACGTAACAATAACAAGAGCTGTGCTCAGAGCTTATTGCTCACTGTAGTCTGAAGGGGTTTTGATAAGGTAATGCCTTACATCCTCTAGACTTAGCAACAATGCCCTATGATTGTCATACAGAGAATCTTCATCTCTTCAACAAAAGGAATCCACGAGCATGCATCCTCACAAAACAATAAGCACTGTCCTGCTGGAGCCAAAGCTGTTATCTTCTACTTGGGTTCTTCTTTGGGAACGCCACAACATGCAAACTAGCCAACCGTTTTCAATGCAAAACAACTCCTAATGCCCCCAAGCCCTTTTAAACTAGGATTTTCTGTTCAGAGCACTATAATTACCCATGAATTCACAGCTAGCCCACCAGCCAAAAATAAAAATAACAGACCTGACCTAACTAGACGTATTTCTTTTTGATAATTGGCTAGGTAATATTGTTGTTGTTGGTGGTTGTTGTTGTCCAATTCACATGATCACCAACCTATTATTTTTCTTAACTCAAGTTCATATGACAAAAATAATCATTATCATGAATAATGGAATTACTCGCTCAGCTTGGATGCCAGTTCTTGGAGAGCAGCTTCTTGGTCTTGACATATCCTTTTCAGTTGCTTGTTCTTTTCCTGAAGTTTAAGGAACTCCTTAAAACAAAAACCAAAACAAACAAACAACAAAAAAAACCCAATTATTCTCAAAATTGTATTTGCCTACTGCCTAGAATATTGCTACTACCCAAAGCTGATCTTACTGAGAAAGCCAAGTGAAGGAATGATCCATCACACTCTCTATTAAGATTCCCAAATCCAACTCGAACAGCAACAACTTGGGATTAAACACTCTTAGACCCCAAGAGATGAAGCATTTTTGCTTCTGCGGTCCTCTCCACGAAGAAAATAAAAACAATTGATTGCAGAGATCAACCACACTATATAGCCGTATATACCAAGCCAGAGAGAAGTTGAAGCACTTTCTGGCCTACGATGAGAAGACACAGTTTTCAGTACAACTGAGAAAGGAAAATGAGGATTTCATTTCTTCTTATTCAAAGCACTGAATGCTGATCTGAGGACTAAATGGGGAGTAAAAAAAAACTTTTTTTTTCCTTAATCTATTTGTAAGACTACATTAATCTAATCTTTCTTATCTGCTTGGAGAAATTCTTAAAAATACCATATCTAAGTCCATAATTAACTTTGCAGTCAATTTCTAAATTACTAGTCAAGTTTTATTGCAGAATTTACTTTTTTAAGGTTAATTATTTCTTGGGTCTCTATTCTCAGATGAGATACAGTTTCCTTTTCCTTTTGAAGATCATCCTCTAAGGTTTGCCGCCACTCTTTTTCTATCTTCAAATCTGTTTCCAGCTGAAGCCTAGAATATGCAAAACAAAAAAACCTATCACTGTGCACAACAGTATCGTTTTTAAAAAATAAAACCGAGTTTATTTCTGGGTGCAATATACTATTATCATAATAAACAAATTATCAACTTACACCTTTTCTAAAACAGAAATAACTTATCAATATCATAATATTTTAGACACCAGTGTAATAAATAAATAAAACAAGACACTGTCACTTAGAAAATGCTTTTAAAAAGAAATGTATTTGAAGGACCAAGAATATGGCATCATTTTGAAGAGCTGACCTTTGTAATAAATGAGCAAGAGAAGATTAACCACAAAATTCTAAAGTATTTTTAAAACATGCATAAGGGAAAGCCCCCTTAACCTTACATAGCTTGTTTCTAAAATAAAACGAACCAACCAACCACACTGCCATTGGTGATGCAGATGATGACTGTATGTATCTCTGGTGCTCATAAAAGTTATTTAATATTACACCCTTAGATGTGAATCTTTTATTTTAGACTAAGGCTTATGGCATTTTGAACAGAATTGAAAATAAAGGAGGAAGGACTTTAAATTACTATTTTTATTGAGCTTCCTACATAGCTGAGGTTCAACATAAAGAAGGATCTAAATTCTATTAGTTTAACTGGAGTCCAGTTAAAGGAATTAGGGCTACTCTGATGGAAGATCCACTCTAGCTGGAGTTTCACTATCAGTTTCATGGAAGAGTTGGTGTTTAGAATGTTACAGAGAAACCAAAGGATGGAAGCACACTGCTCAACCTTCTAGATCTAAATTGTGCCAACACAATAAAAGAGGAAAAAATCTGAGAGTAGTCATGCAAGGTTTTTTGATGGAAAACCTGTATCCACATTAATTTTCCTGTTTTAAAACCAAAACCATTTTTAAAGGAAAGACTTACATTTTGGGACACTACCTCAGCATCTGGCTGGAAAAGATCAGAAGTGAACATGACCTTGAGGTTTCAGAATTGCAGAATTCTAAGGCTGGGGTCTGAACTGTTCTTTTGCCAAAATCTGCAAAGATGACTGTGGTAGTAAAGTGAACATTTGTCATGACAGTTAAACAAGTTTATTAACATGCAGAGTTGTAAGAGAGGCAGGGTGGGCTAATAATTGGATTGGAAATCACTAATTTTTAAGTCCCAATCCTTGTTGTGCCACAGATTTGCACTGCCTTAAATAATTTACTTGTTATCTTTGCAAACAGGGAAAACACCTGCCCTTACGGGGAGCTTTTTACATTACATATTTATTTAAATCAGTACTGAAGGACTTAACAGGAGAAAGGGTAGAGGGTTGGCTTTTATATTACTTTTTAATACTTATGATTCCAGTGGATTTTTATTTTTTATTTCCTGCACAGTGATAAGTTAAACCACTTCTACCTTATCCATAAGCCTGATCAATTAAACTATTCTTATGCCATTTCTGTTTAAGTTTATACTACTACATACTTGTGGGTTTTGTTAAAAGTGTGTATTACTACTACTACACTATGTATTTTCCCCCACTTGTGATAACTTCCTTGTGAATTAAGGTGGCATTTTTAGACAAAAAATAATGCTGTTCTTCCCCCTCCTTTCAAGCTGCACACCATTTTAGAGGCGCCCAAAGGTAGCTTGACTTCCTTGGAATGGCATATTTTCTTCCACCTTGCCAGTACCTAACATGAAGATCTTTAGTATTTACATTCTGTTCAAAACCATTTATCAACAACCAGCCTGTATTAAGACACAGGACATATTGCAATGTAGAATGCTTACTGCTTTGTATTTTTCCAAACAGGAAAGATATACTTACAGCTGTTTCTCCTTCTGGGAAAACTCTTTCTGCAGACTTTCAGATTTAGTCACATATTCCTGTTTAAGTTTCTCATCCTCGGCCTCAGCCTCCATTTGAGCCTTCTCTGCTTGCTGCAATCTGGTGTAATTCAAATCAACTTTGGGTAAAACTGAAGCTAGAACTAGGGTGTAGAGGGTGAAGAAGACAAATAAAAGAAAAATGGGGAAATAGAAACATTTCTAAATAAAAACAAAGTTTGGGGGAAACTCACAAACTCAAACGAGAAATCCATACAATGCCTAGAGAACTAGCTCCTGTTTTTCCATACAGTAAGAGAGTAATCACTGTAAGTAATCACTGTTTTATTTTATGCTCATGAATAACAGATGCCAAAGCATGATGATACATATTTTAGAATTGAAGCATATACCTTAATGCTTTTTTTTTTCCTTTAGCATATGTTCATATGTTATTTTTGGAAGCTTTTTTTTTTTTTTTTAAATAAATCCTGTAAAAGTACTCGGCTTGTACTAATCACCCATGAAGACAGGGCAGAGCATGTGTTGTGCAAAAGCAGCTCAAAACAATTCAGGCATAAGGCTGAATACAGAGCACTGCAATCAAGACAGCAAAAAAACTTAACTAGCCTAATACAAGAAGACACACCCTGACAGGTCCCACTACATTTATAGAACTACCTCAACTACATCATGTCATGAAATTAATTTAAATAATCTGTATTAAAAATAATGCATTCTTACACTGGTTAAAATAGCTCCATACTATAGACAAAATAAATTAAACTAATTAATCAAGAAGTGAGAGATTTTTTTTTTTTTTTTAATCTTTCCTTTCTGAATTCCAGGAGTTTGTTTCTGCTTCAGTTAGCACTCCCCTCGGAATCCATTAGTTCACTGTGGTTCCTCTCTGCTTGGTCACCTCTTCAGTCCAAAAAAAGATGGATGTTAACATAACAAAAGTAAAGGTACTAAAATGGAACTTTTGCTGTACATGGCTACATCTGTCTTGATGAAAAAGCAGGAGAGTAAAAGAGCCTGTAAAATACCACCTGCTGCGCCTTGTTTAACAAAACTGTTTCAAGGGCCTCCCAGGTAAGTGATGGGAGAAATCTGTGATACTCTTGCGCTTGATTTTTCACTTCCCAGCAGCTAGCTGAATGCAGAGTAACTCACAACTCCCAATGTCAGTTACAAAGAAATGTAAGTCAGCAACATGTCTACATCTGTGCTTCTACTGATGAAGTTGCACCAGCAGGAGTTTCCAAAAGCTGCCAGTAAACAAATGAAAAAAGACTGGAATTAAACTACCTTATAAAGTGTGTACTATCTCATTCAACTCAACCAGTTGTTTTAAGAATGTTCCCAGTCACATTTGCAATGGTAGTGCACAGAGGGCCAAAACACATACGGAAAGGAGAATACTGGGAAAAAGCAGGGTCAATTTACTGGGCAAAAGAAGCTGAATGAAGCTACACAAGACAGTAACACCAAAAGCAAGTTAAAACTCTCCCTGAATCACAAATTAAACTGCAGTGTAGTTTCCACAACCAAGGTAGAAAGGGAGCTTGCTACCCAAGAAACACGCTAGCCAACCCAGGCTACAGCACCATCCTCTAGACTAGCACCAAGGCTAACTGCACCACTGTAATTCAGACAAATGCTGAGCTGGACTGAGTTCGCAGCAGGATTTGCGATTCAGATGACACTGAGGCAGATACTTGTTTGCATAGATGACCATGAGATGGTTAACGCTCCCATTTCCGCTATGGTCTACTTGTTTTATTCAGTGTTTCTGGTTTGGGTTTTCTTTGAGGATGGGAGATATTTATTCTTCTTTTTTAGCAGCCAACCCATGTTAAAGGCTCTTTCTGATTCCAAACCAAGGAATAAGGTAATGTACAATCACGGAGTAGAAACCCATTCTGTATTATTGCATCCTGCCCCCACTTTTGCAAACACATCCCCTTCTGCTGAAAGACCCTAAGTTTCCTTTCCCAGTCAACTTCCCCTCGACACTTCAGAGCAAACAGTGGGAAGCGCATCAAGGGCAGTCAGCAGCTAAAACTCTCTTACGTCTGCAGTGCAGGCAAGCAGCAACTCAAAGCAGAAATATGAGTTGTAAAGACTGCCTAATGATGGGTGGAGGGACAGAAAAGGGGTTGGGCAAAACCACAGGTTATGATTACAGTGTAGACAAAGCCACAGACAGGCAAGATCCTTAGTTGACAAACAAGTTCGACAAGTTCAGGATCTGGGCCCTGAATGTAAATCCTATTTATTACTACAACTTCCACTGCAGCTATCATGGTGCAGCTGTTCTAGGCAGGAGTCACAGCTACAAAATTTGCTAGAGCGTGCTGCCCTCCCTGTCTGGAGCCCTATCTAAGTCCAGGCTCCAAACACGTTTTAACTCTGTGAAAATATTTTACCCCACATCACGTCAGCAAAATGGAATTGTGCTTTAGCTGTTTTATCCCCAAACCCTGTAATTCTTCCACTGTACATACTGAACATATATGTTGACACCACCCTCTTTTTTTAAATATATTGTTCTGATACAGCACTCAAACCCCCTTCCCCCAAACTCTGTCACGCTGTTTAAGAAAACAGTGCTAGTTACAACCAAAAAACCCAACAGAGAGCATGCTTTTGGGGTAAATACAGCCTAAAAGTGAAAGAAATAAGCAGGGGAGAAGGGAAATACTAGTTAGAAGGGCTACTTTTTAAATCTATTAGTACCGTAAAGAATAGGAAAAAATCACTAGATTAGAAACAAATGTCATAAAAATGTACAGTCAAAGTAAAGATAGCTAACCTTTTAAAATAAACTTTGTTTGGCAATTAAGAAGTGATTAAATAGCATTATAAAACTAGCTTAGATTTGCTTAATAATAGTGCAATCTTTTTTTTTTTATCTTTTTTTTTTTTTTTAGGAGGGGTAAAATGAGATCGGAGATGATGTTCTTTCAGAAAACAAAATAGAACCCAGCTACGATCAGTTACAGTGCAGGATTTCTAATACCACTTTATATTTAAAATTGTAATTTTAGAATTCTTAAGGTGTATTTTATCAGTAATTATTTAAACACAACAGATCTGGAGGAGCTTTTAGAATGATATATCTTTGACAAGTTTATACTGGTGTTGAGCTTCATTGCTGGCACATTTGACGAATGACATTGCAATAGTCCTAGTTTGAGTTAACAGATCTTTGTCACTTCATGAATGCAGTGGACAAAAATCAAAGACAGATGAAGGCAGCAAAATAGTAAAAACAAAAATTGGGGTAAAAAGAAAAAGAAAAAAGAGGAAAAAAGGATGTCAATAAAAGAATATTCATGTCACTTTTTTTTTAAATACATAACCATGTTTTTCATAATCAGATTTAAACAAAAAAAAAAAGACATGTCAAACACCAACATGACAGGGCTTATGGATATGTTATATTTTACAATTAAAAAGATCAATGTTGTATATAGGCCACTAAATTAAAACATATGAATCACATTTTAATATTATGTAATAAATGTAGTCTAACCATAATGTAAATTCATGTACTGGAATTTTAGTCTTTCACTTTTCAACCTTTCAGTGTAAAAACTCATTACATCATTGAAAATAATGGTACTTCCAAAGCAACAGACAACAATTTCAAGAGCTTCAGCAAATACAGCAGTGATCCATTAAGGCATTAAATGTTTATATTAAGCACATGCTTAAGTATAAGCAAGATTAATGCTTTGGTTTCTATTGCATTTCATTCAGGTGGGGGGAAAAAAAAAAGAGGTAATAATGAATCAGAATTTTGAAACAGCTGAAAGAACAACTTTTGATATCAGCACAAAAACCTAGGACTGGAAGAAAAATGGTGGAGGAAGAAAAATGAAAGATTAAGTTTGTATTTAAAATAAGTGTATTTGTTGAAAAGAAAAAAAAAACAAACAGTAAAGCACTAGTTAAAGTTTCAGAAAGGTTCGTTTTAAATTTTCTAGTTGAAAGTTACATTTCAGTGGCAACTGTGTAGGAATGCAGTAAAATGTAAGGGGATGGAGAAATGAATGAAGAAAACAAAGATGGACCTGTACCTTTGTTCTAGTTGTTTCATAGTTGCATTAATTTGATTGGTCTTATCCTCTAATCGACCAATTATTTCATTCTTTTCTTTCATAGCATCTTCAGAAACCTGTGTTACAAAAAAGGTTAAAACTGAAGTAGGTATACATTACACTGTTACCTCACGGAGGTTTTTTTCTTCAATATCTAAAGGGAAAAATACTAAAATGGCTTCAGGTTTTGATTCTTTTTAAACATTCCAATCTAAAAAATGTAGCTGACAGTACTTAAAATTTTATGCCTAGCAAATTTGTAGTTTTGTACTTTGCAAGTGTAGATGCTATTTAATAAGTATACATTTTTCACTTTGGTTTCCTTTCTTAGTTAATCATTTTGCAAGTTAACTTAAATTCACTGATCATCGTTTTAAGTAGCTCATCAGAACCACACCAATAAAGAGCTAAGATGCTTAGTCCTGGAAATCCCTAAGGTTCTCCAACTCTTATCAAACTACCATATGCACCTAAAAATCTTTTAAGAATTTTACTAACACATTTCACAATTTTGATTGCTTGCAGAGCTGTTACAACCACAGCTTGAAGATCTAAATAAAAGGTAGAGCATTATCCTTGCTATACAGATCAACATCATCAACTGGTCCCTAAACAGCAGAGGCTGGGCATGACTAAACTGTTTTACTCTGCCCAGGAAGTGTATCTGAATGTCATTAAGCGAAATCAGTGTTACCCACAGCCTCCAGAAGTACAGCTTTAAAAGAAAAACAAACCCCTACAGACCCTAACATACTGAAGGACGTTCTCTTCTTATTTGTATTTCTCTTCCTCTAGTCCAGTTTCCTCACAGTTGCAGGTGGAAAAGTAGCATGCTTTATCCACCATCTCAATTATCTCTCTGCAACATCCTAATTTTTTTCCCCTGATTCTGCCAGATTTGACTGGTTTCTTGTGTTGTTTTTGATAACTTATTCCATAAATCAAATTTATGTTCTGCATAAATAATTCACTGCTAAACTTCCCTGGTGTTTGGTCATTTGTTAACTGCATGTTGGATCTCCGAGATCCATATTCTCCCAAAGCAGCATTGCATTGTTACAGATTTTCTTAATTTGTTAACAGATTAAAAAAAAAAAAACGTAATTAGCTTTTTACATTTAACACAACCTTGTTTTCCAAATGCCTTTCCTTGCTCTAAAAGTTCACATCTCCTCTTTAACTCCTTACTATGTGCCTACATTCTCTTGGGTTTTTTATGCAACGCAGGCCAAAAAGTGTCATTATCACTAGATATACTATTACTCTCTATTCCACACGGCACGTTATTAGGCCATGATCTTATTCTCATGCTCTTTTCTTCTATAAACCCACTAACATTAAGTGACTGCCTTAAGAACTGCTTTGTGTGAAATCATGCTTGGATCAGTAATGTTCCAAAATGACAAGCTGACCTAAGAAGCAGAAGGAAACCAAAAATTAAGGAAACAGCAGTATTTAACTAAACAAAATGGTAATGCATCTCTCTCACTCCAGTCAAAGTCGTTTCATCAGTTTAACAGCAGATTGTTCCTTTACCTGCAGCTTTTGGTACATTTCCATGTTAATTGCTTTAACTTCATCAAGCTGCTGTCGAAGGCCTATGAGGGTATCCTGCTTCTCATGGATGTCCTTCTCCAGCAACTTCATTGCAAGTTCTATCTCATGTTTCATACTAACTTGAACCACTAACTCATTCTCCATATCCTATAAAACACAAACACAATGCAACAGAGAATATTTAAATAATTATGCAACATTTTATCTCTGTTTTGAAAAAGACAAAAGCTAATTCTAACAGAGCTGCAGCACCACCTATTTCACCACTTCAGAAATTCTGCCCCTCTTTAATGTTGCAAATTATCCACTACATAAACATTACGCTCTCATGTACTTAGTGACCGATGTTGTTTTTTTAACTCCGGGAGAAGACAACTCACATTAGTCTGCCACTGTTGCATAGAGTTGCCTAAGTATTAATTACAAAAATAGAACTAAAGGATTTCACAAGATTTAGCGTACATACAGAGCATACAGCATTGCTAACAATTTGCCTAAAAATTTGTCAAAGAAAATGTATTTTCTTTACTATGCTTTAGCAACATTGTTACAGAAATATTGATGTATTGATTGCTTCGTTAAAAAAACCTTTTTATTACAGTCAAAGGCAATTAAAGTTGATTAAAGGCAGCATCTAAGCTCAGCAAAAGCAAAACAGAAATATTTATATACTGACTCTTCTCAAGCATAATATTTTCTAGAAGTGCTGTGTAATCCTAGAAAAGAACACTTACTTGTCGAAGTTGTGATTCTTCTCGAAGCTGTCGACGTGCTTCATTGTACATTTCATCTAAACCCTGCCTGGAGTGTTTGTATGTTTGAAGTTCTGCTTCAACATCCACTTTAGTTGCCTACAAAGATAGAGAGAATCTATCTTTCTTCACCACAAGTTTAGCAATTAATAGCATAAATTTATCACTTGTGGGAAAAGAAAAAAGCTTAAAAATACATTCTCCAAGCACAGTACAAACATGGAAAGAACTGTTTCTGCTATGCAGTCATCAGTTTTATAATGAGAATTGAGTAAATCTAGCAAAACAAACATCTGTACTGCAGTACAGTCCTCCTTCAGTAAGTCACTCTAATACACAACTGCTTCAGTACTGAGCAATCCAAACACCTGCTTAACCTGTGCTTTTACCAATTATCCTGTAAAACACATACAAGAAGTTACATATGGAGCTACAAATCACAGCTTAAAAAAAAAGTTCAGCAATTGGATACACGATTACTCCAAATGACATTCTATATAATGAGACAGGTCAGAATAGACAGTTTGCCAACTAAAACACACACTATTTTGACAAGACTTTCAGATAATATTGCCTTAAATGCTCTTAGATGTAGCTTACAGTCTACAGAAAAAAAGGAAGAAGGGAAGAAAAACAGAAAGAATACAAGGAAAAATGTTACAAAATTTGCACATGGTTATAAAACAATCTAGTGTCCTATAATTTTGATATATTTATGCCATTATAAAGCTTCACAGATTTAATAGGTCCTTTCCCTAATAAAGGTTGTTTTTGATTTGGCCCAGCTACTGATTACTTCAAGTTGCAATGTAAGAACATTTGAATGACAATGAACCACATGACATTACTACGTTAAATGTGGTAAAACTGACATACCTCTAGATGATGCTGTGTTTTCATTAAAATAAGAGTATTTTCACTCCTTAATTGATGGTTTTCTTCCTGAAGTTTAATTATATTATTTTTGGCTATCGCTAACTGAAAAGAAAAAAAAAAAAGGGGGGGGGGGGGGGCCAGGAAAAGCAGCGTGACCTCTTTTGTGAGTGGAAATAAAGAAAAAAATGTTCTGATGAATGCAAGACCAAGACATTCTCTGCTGTATTCTCATAGTCTACCAAACAGAGGTTTAATTGTTTTTAAAGAAAACATAAAGCTCCTGGTTTTAGTAACAAGTCACTTTCATTACACAACAGCATGCGTATTCAAGATACTTCATTATTTCATGTCTGGTAAAGAATATGCTTTCTTTTCATTGCTTCATTATGACTTAAAGACCCTCAATTCCCTTTCCTCATCCTAATTTTTTTCTTTCTATTTGGATTCAAATATATCCAGTTTTGTTCTTTTTTGGACATCTTAATATATCATATGGAGCAATTTACCGAAGAAAACCTCTCCCTGATGAAAAGAAAACATATTTACAAAAAAGGAAACATTATAACTGGGCCCTACAGTATATACCTTAATGTCAGAATTATAAGCCAGCTGATCAAAATAGGTGGACAATTGAGTTGAAGGCTTGTAAAGGAACCAGAATACTCTGAGAATTAACACTTAGAAAAAATGTTTTCCCTCTATCTGGATACATTAATACCCAGAGTGAGCTAGCTATCCCTTCAACAGCTGAATTTAGACATTTCAATTTTCCACTTCATTAACTATTTCTCAAGCAGCTCAGATTAAAAAAACTGTACTCTCTCTTATAAAGCTAAAAATATTGGAATCTAGTCAAGCAGCAAAGATAACCCAAAATATAGGATATAAATACAAAACCAGAGCTAGACAAGTCTAAAAACTGTATATAAACATATGGTAAATAAGCAAGAAACAATCCTTTGGCTAAAGCTGAGAACGGTAACAGAAATTGCTTGGTGAACTACTTTCTGTCTCTTTGTAGCAACTGGTGTCATCCATTATGGACTAGTCATCTGCACAAAATCACACTGACAGCTGGCATTAAGAAAGGCTTCTCTCCTGGTTTTGTCCAAAGAGGGAAATTGCCATGTTCTACAGAATTAATTTACTGATGCTGCAGGCTACCTAGGCAAGCTGACTTCAAATGCCTGCATCTACTGCACCTTTTCCTCAAGCCAAAATAAAGGTATTTGAACATATTATACAGAACTTACATAGATTAAAATAATTTAAGTATATTTAGAAAAATAGTGTTTGAGAGTAAATAATATCTATTACACATTACTAAAAGAAAATAATACCTCTTCGATCAGTTTAGTGTTTGATTTCTCTAGTGAATCAACTCTTGCATGTAGACTGCTAACTGTGCTACTGAAAAAGAAAAAACATTATTCAAAATTACATCAAAACTCATTCAACCAAGCTCAAAGGCTTTAATGCGAGGTACAATGATTAATGGTTAAGTGCTAAAAGGTCTGCTCCCATTATTTGAGGTTTTCCTAAATATAAGAAAATTAGTCTCCCTTGTTGAACATTTATATACTTCTTTCCAACTCCCAATGTCATCCCTGTCACTTAAACTCCTGGTTTGGTGTGACTATACATGTATTCTCCCTTTCCTTTATCCTCACAACTATATTGTATCCAAACGTTTAATGAGTTCCCTTAAAAGACAGTTTACAATCTTCTTGGGTTTTTCTCCCCGTATAACGAAACCATTCTCCAGGTTCTCTTCCTCCAAAACCCATTTATTTCACAAAATTATTTGCTTCTCCACATTTTTTGAGATTTATCCTCAGGCTACCTCTTTCTTGATGCTTCTTGACTTCATTTAGAAGCCTCATCGGACTTTTACTCTGTTTTTTTAATTGTATCAAACTACATACAGGCCTTCTCCATTATCTGAGTGCCTATTTCTGCTGTAAGCACACTTTTTTAGGCTGCACTTCACACGCAGAAAAAGAAACCCTATTCTGTAACACCATTTACTTTTCCACGTACTTCTACTGTGGTGTTACTCAGAAGTTACCAGTTCATTAAGAATGGCAAGGTAGAACAGATTAATGCATTTTAGGATGTCTGGAAAGGAACAGCTGACCTGAAATAAAACAGGATAGTTGGTGAACCACTGGTTTGCAAGTAATTCCATGCATAAACCAGTGTACAAGAACATACTCAATACACAGAGGCTCACCTGAATAATGACAGCTACCATCACAGAAACACCACTATTCTTAATTGTGATAATTCCTTTCTCCTGCTTAACTTTCATTCTGCTCATACTTGACGCACTCAGTTATTCTGTCCTGTTGAAGGTTGATGCTCAGTGGCTGACACAATTTCAGATCAGAATACCTTTACCCCAACTGTAGCCATATAGTAACTAACGATCAAGATTACCAGCATTAAAAATGAAAAAATACAATTACATTTCAAAAAGGGATCAAGAAGATCAGCTATACTACAGATTCTACAGAAGTTCTTTGTGGGTTTGTTGTTTGGTTTTGGGGGTGGGTTTTTTTCTTTTTTTTAGCTCCTCACACTGTTTAATTTTGTACAATACTCCTCAGAGAATTACAATCACTGTTCCTCTATTTGTACAGTAACACACACAGTGGTGGACTAGGTTTGCTCTATCCAGCAAAGTAACAGGGAAAGGCTGCTTTCCTGAAAACTGTTTTTACAGGAACCACAAACTACAATGTGTAAGTAGTTTCCAGCAAGCAATGAACCTATTTCAGTTTTGGTCCTAGGCATTAAAGTTACAAACTAAAATATTATGAAAGACAAAGAAACAAAAACATGTGGATTCACCCAGAACACTCAATACTACTTTTTGAAAACCGTTAAAGAGAATGCAGTTAAAATCCAGATCAAGCTTTTCATTCCTGTGAAGTTATGAATCGTGAGGACCTTGATCAGTTTTGGCCTGCTGTTTTTCATTTCTTTGAAGAATAAAGGTTCTGACTGTCAAAAACAAAAGCATGAAAACTGAGACTTCCTGAGTCTCTCCAGAAGAGCATATCCTTTCTAACTTCATTATGTCCTCAATCTAAACATGAAGAATTTGCATCCCTTTCTCTGAACTTCTCTCTCACAAAGCTGTGGTACAAAAGGAATTAGAGGTGTTTTACCTGTAAGCCTGGACTGACATACATACTTCAAAATAATACTTACTTCAGTTGTCTGTTTAGTTCTTCAACATAATTCTTTTGGTCCAAAATTGCAGCAATCTGTACATTTCTAAAGCAAGCACATAATAAAATTAGCTTTAAGAAAATGATGTAGTGAACTATGTACTGAAAACATACATCTCTATCACATGCAAATGTCCATCTTAATTGTGCTTTTTAAAAAAAAAGGAGGAACTTCATCTCACAATCATGAAGTAACAACATGTAAGTTATTGACATCAGTGAGAGACAAAAAAACCCAATGCTTTAATTGCAAACAATTTCTCTACTTCAAACACAAGAACATGTACAGTCTCAAAAGAAAAAGGATGTTTATTTGCTCTGCCATAACTCTGGTTCTTTGATATACTGACTAAATCCCAAGGTGAGGGCTTAAAGGTTAGCAGGTTCTTTTTCACTGCCGCCTTGCAATCTTCCAATACTGTCCATCAGGTAAAGGAAGAAGGTAATGTTGCTGAGGCTTGCTTCAGAGTGCAACTATTCGTCCAGCAAACTAGTAATACAGAACAATGTAGCGTACAATTTTTCTCAACACTGCGAGATCAGAAAACTTCATCTTCAGGGAACCTGACTTATTGCTACAAAGAACAGGACACCAGTCAAGAAATCATTTGTTAACATGCAAAATCTGAGGTATTTGGTGGGGACATACCTTTCCTTACCCCCAACGTCATCATCACTCTTTAAATACATAGAGAAATCAATCACCCCAACCTAGGGGAAAGCAAATGTACAGAGTTTCATATCATACAAGTAACTGCTGTTGATATTCATGGTCTTGTATCTACATAATTACTAAAACCTCAGTTACATCAGCTTTTTTAAGATCGGTCCAGTTTCAGCCAGAAGCTCAAAAAACTGAACCGTAACATTTTAAACAAGATTTTTTTTTTTTTAAAGCGTAGTCTCACGTATTTGTCAAGAATTATGTTACCTTTGAACAAAATTAACAATGTGCCAGGTACCAAATCCAAAAGAAAAGATGACTTCTTACCTGTGACTAAGCTTAGCCAAGAACTTACTGGAAGACTTTCATTTGGGGAATTATCAGATACTACTCAACCCTATCACTGATTGAGCAGACTTGTGATAATTTGTCTGTAGTGTTTCACATGATTTCCTATCACAGCACATCTCCCAAACTGATGTTTCCCCCATGTTTATCTTTTCAATACTCTTTGCCAAATAATGCTACCTCTCCACACTTGCTGATTCCCAGGTGTGCCAGCTCAACTGCATTCATTTTTTTAAACCTTCTAAATCTGAATCTAATTAATTTATTTTCTATTCAATTGTAATTCAATCATATATAGTATAAATAACATTACCATGAGTTCTGCTTCCAACTCTATTCATGAACCTCTAACAAAAGTATTTAACCACATTTGCTTTACCAAAACCCTTCCTTTTTGGTCTCTAGCAGCCTCTTTACAAAAGTATTTCAATTTCTCTGATCTACTGCTTCCTTCTTGAGCTCTCTTTAGCTTCTGAATACAAGTAACTTGCTTAAGTCTAACATTTCCTTGGTTTGTACAATGCTCTCCTGTCAAGTTTCCTATGATGGTCTTCTACTTGTTCTTTCCATATCTTTTCTAAAAAGTCTCTCCCCCAAAAGCTTTTTAAAAAACGTATTTTGCCTATTAAAGTAAAATACTCTCTCTAAAAAAGTAAAATGTTATCTCTATAGAGGTTACTTTGTTTTAATTCTCCCTGGGTGCATAGACACGTTTCACCATCAAATGGCATTCTTCTAACATACCAAAACTATGCTCCTGGATGCGACTTCCATCATCCTTCAGAAGTTTCTCTTTCTGCTCAGTACAACTTGCTTCTTCTGGCTTTTCTGAGAAGGTGCCTTATTTACACTCTTCACAAAAAGAATTACTCTAAAATCTCATCTGGACAGCCACTACTACCTTCTCAAATCAAGTTTTATGTCCCATCATATAGCAAAGCCACCAAGTGACCTAGATAACAAATGTGTAGCTAGCAACAGATTTTGTGATTTATAATACACACAATATAATTCTCAAGACCACGTTGATAAGTTTTATATAATTACAAGCTTTTTAATATTATGTCTTCTGGTACGCAAGATCAGTGCCTAGAACATTAGATAGTAACTAGAATGAACAATCTAAGACAAGTTAACCCTATGATTCACATTCTTTGCCATAGAAATTGCTTTTTCATCAAATATATGCTGAAATACAGTAAATAATCACTTAAACTATTATGATTTTTTTCCACAAAGAAGCTGGACAAAAGCAATCAGGACTGAACACAGCCTACATTTATTTATAAATACTTGTGCATCTGCCTTTAAAAATAATCCGTCAAGATTTTCTCGGGAAAGATCAGAGTCCAAAGTCAAAGCACTTTGCAAAGGAGGAAGAATTCTAAGTCTTGTTTTGTAGACTGAAAGCAGTCACCCTCTTATAAGGTCTTTTATTACACTACACGAAGCAAGTTTTTGTTTCAGGTTCTTGAAACATTCCTATTATGAATGAATGAATGAATGAACTGATCACAGACCTATACCTCTCCCGCAAAGGAAAAGGATGTTACACAATTAAGATGGAAAGAACTCTGCATTGCTACTATTGCATCCATTTGATGACGAAGCATAAAACTTTATCCTTGCACTCTGACAATTATCACCATCTAAAGGTCTGACCCAACTGATACTGAAGTTAATGCAACAGCCCCCACTGATCCAGGAGCTGGATCACACCCTAAACAGTCTCCAGTAAGATTTCTGACAAGTCACAACTCCATAGTAACAAAATTCACTGTACATAAAAATCTTACGGATTGCATGTACGTTACTTTACCTGTATTGACTTACTTGTGAATCTAGGTCTTCTCCCTTCACACACAGGTTAGCATCTATCACATTTAACCCAACTAATAGCCCAACAATAACTGCTCCTTCTTCCTCCATCATTAGTGCATGATACTCATAAAATTCACTGTTAAAGAAGAAAATTGCAAGTTATTGGTCTATTCAGTATATTTACATGCAATAAATTAATAATAAGTGACATCTAAATCTGAATTGTTTCTCTTATTTTAGCCTTACTCCAACATTCTTAAAGATGAACTGGGTCTGCCCATATTTTCACCTCATAAATATTTAAAAATTGAAAGTTCATGGTTTGTCTCAGAGGCTATTAGAGCTACTACCTTTGGCTCCAGAAATCTGAGCCACAAGCTGCTGGAGGGCCGGGAAATCTGCAGAGCAAGACTTATTTTGCCTTTTGAGAAGGGGAAAAAAAAAAAAAAAAAAAGGCTCTTCGCTTGCTATTAGCCACTTTTGAATAGAATACTGCAACAGATGGATGTTTGGCCACATTGAGTCAGACAATTCCTATGTTGCTAAAAAACACTAGAGAATGCAAAAGAAGAATGGTAAAAAGTTTACCTTGTGTGAAAAAAGGTCTTGACTTCCATGAACACATGCTCGAAATTAAAGAAGCCAAGTAAGAGATTAAATGGGTAAGAGAAGAGAAACGGAAAGGGCTGAAACGCTGAAAGGTTTTTAAAAGAAAAAAACCCCACTAAACAACAGAATACCAACATTGACTTCTTCCTCCTTGCATTTTTTAGATAAACTTTTAGACTCCATGAAATAAACTGTGCTTTCAATGGAAAAGTCCATAGCTGTTGAACACCAATGTCATCCTGACATACCGGCATTATCCAGGCATACAAGAGAAGTCTTAAAAATACGTATAGGTTATAGAACTGAAATTAAGATGACAAGGTTTTTTTCCCTTTGTGCTTCAACTACCCCATCAGAAAGGAGAAGTTACACTAGAAGAGAGCAATGCCAGTTTTAGAACTATGAAAGGAAAGGAAAGTTGAAGGCAATCATCCTCCATGCAATGGCAGCTCAGTAGGAAACCATGCATATGGTAGGGGTGAATTCATTTCCTCTCCAGAGGCTTCTAGTCCGTACTCCACACGGCGGAGGAATGCAGCAGGAGCCCTTCCCCATCACCCTCATGTATGAAAGAATAGTCAGGCATGTTGCAGAAGGCTCCCCTATGTGATGGGGAAGAAAAATCTCTTCACCTGTCCGCTGGCCCTCAATCTTGATGAGGCAGCAGTGTTTGGTCCCTCTACCCTGAGGACTGGAAAAAATCAGCCCACAAGCGAGTAGCTACACCTTGCTACACTAAGGATACATTAAAAAGTAGCAAACAGAAAATATATTTTTTTTCAGGATACTAAACCTCTAAAAATAGACTATAAACAAAATCTACTTAATTGTTTACCTGAGAAGATCTCTCTGAATGATTAAACAGCGAAGATAGTCAGCCATTTTCTTCTGCATTAGTGCTAACCGTAACCAGGCCCGGGCACGGCCCAGTGGTGTTCTGAAAAAAAGGGCATGAAGACAAACAGTCCGAAATCAACAATATATCAATTAATTCACTGTCTTAAATATCTTATCAGTCTATTGGTACAGCAATTGGTATTTCTGAAAAGGTATTTTAAACTACTAGTTGAGCAATGCAGTCTGGGAAGCCATAATGTCTAGGCTTTGACTCCAAGCTTTGGGATAATATCAGAAAAATTTTCATCAACTCAGCTGGGCTTGGGAGCAGACCCTGGAAAGAACAGGAATAGAGAAAGCACAAGCGCCTGACAGTAAAATTAACTGTTTTGTTCAGAGAGTGAAAACATGCAATTTTCTACACACTGTTGTATTTCAATGTGCTTTGTTCTCACACAGTACATGGCTAGCAGTATGGAAAGAATTTTTAAGAGTGGTGCTGTTTTCCTGTAAGTACCTTCCTCTTAACCTGACAGCGCCTGTAAAGATAATCTTGAAAGTCCTGTTTCTAGCTGAAGCAAAATGTGTGCCACAATTCAGACTCCTTTCTGCAACTTGCTTATGAAGTCTTCAGAGGAATTGTGAGAAAAGTAACTGAATGTCCATTACAACTCATCACGCAAGCTTGCCTTCCCAATCCTATTCTCTGGGTCTACACAACACGTACTGAATTCTAGCTTTAACTCATACTTGTTTACAAACTCAGGGGTATCTTAGAAAGACAATTCAAAAAAGAAGAAAATGTATGCAACTAGCAAACTTTAATAACCATCAAATTAAACCTAGACCTTTAGATCCTCCTCTTCTAGTGCTTGCACACTTAGAAGCGGTAAGCACATAAATGCAAAAAAAAAAAAACCAAAACAAAAACCTGCATGCTGTATCAGGACAGGAAGAATGTAACACATCTAGCAAAGGGTATTATTTCACCTGGCCTGATACAAGAGTAAATAACAATTTATATACCTATGTGCTTTAAATAAGGTCTAAAGTTATAAATTATAATCCTTATGTGCCATATACCAATCACAGTGTAACCAAACCCTTTTGGAATTTAATGTACGGCCAATTATGAAGCTAAATACAAAAGCAGAGTGCAGAGGAATGGGAGAAGATTGTAATTCACAGCATAAATTTACATTTGAGAAGGATCCTACACACAAGAATCTGAAAAGCTGCCTAATACTTTCCTCTTCAGTATGTTACCTTTTGTTTTTATACAGCCTTTGCTGACTAGACCTCATGTGTTTGCTGCAGTTCTAGACTGCAGACTTTTTGATACACAACCTGTTCCTTTTTGCACCACTTTTGTCCACCATTCAGAAACCTTTTCTCCCAGGAACATCAGAAAAGAACATAAAAATACTACTTTTTTTGCTGTTTTGTGCAGAACATGAAAAGCTAGCAGGATTCATTCACCTGTGCTCTCCCCCAGTATAATGTGCTAGCTGTTCAAAGGCTTGATTAATGCCAAATGAAATCATGAGACATCTGTAGGTTCTCAACCAGGTCCTTTATTTTCTTGCTGTATTTCACCAATACTACTTACTTAAGACCAGGCAAATCTCTGACACTTGCTGCTATTTCCTCAGCTTCTGGATATAATTTCTCCACAAGTTCCAGAGGACCCCAAATGGTTTTATTGTAACTTAGAAAGGATTTTCTTACTTTGAAAGAAAAATTAAGTAACTGAATTAATTTAAATTACTGGAGTAGCTTCCTTCAAAATAGCTGGTGTGGCGAAAGGGTTAACTGCTGAGCCTAGACTTCCAGACAACAGATAACTGCAACACTGGTTAGACCACCAGTATCCAAAGCCATCTTCCAAATTACTTTGCTGTGAACATAAAATTGCTGTGCTAGAACAAAATAATATGAAAAGGATGACTGGCTAAAAATATAAGCTACATACATACATGCAGTTGTGGTAATCCCTGGACCATTTACAACAAATGGTATACAAAAGAAAAAGTTGGTAAATGTGGAAATATATGTTGTGAAGTATTAATAATGACACTGTTAATTACAAAAGGTGACAATTTATGTATTTTCTTCACTTCTTAAAGCAACATAACACACTCTGATTTTATCTCATTCAAGAAAGAAAGGAAGAAAAATGGCATGTTTGGGATGAGAAATATGCAGCTAGAGCAATTACCACACCTTTAAGGCCATGCTTCAGGCAGTGCTCCATGACTACAAAGAACTGCTGCAAAGGTGGATAGTCAGAATCCAGAGTGCGGCCAAAGCTCAAAGCTGATTCAATGAGTCCTTTGATACTCAATTTAGCCATGTTCAGTAAATTTGCTCTTTCTACGGCTGTAGGGTCCTTTACAGCTAAGACAATAAAGAGAAAAAAAAGTTACGGTTCAAGTTTTAGAAGAGATGCAAAATAATAAAATGCTTCATGGCCACCTTGTTCAAAGAAAAACTTACCTTAATCTAGATAAACTCTAAGGAATAATTTAGTAAGTGCTATAAACCACCATGTTATAGAAAAGCATCCACTCCTACAAACACCCTTACAGACCTTACATTGTTTTAATAGGTGAATGAAAAAACAAGGCCGGAAATGTCAGTTCTCAGGTACTGTGTTGTCTCAGTACATCTCGGAAGCAGTCAGTAACTGCAAATTAACACAGGCATCAATGTGTGTGCTCAAAAGTTCTGCTGCATAACAGCAATCAGTGCCCTTAACATGATATCAAAGCAGCATTCCTATTAATGTAAGTATCTATTTGGTGTATTATAGTCCACCTACAGAAACAGACATCATACTTCTTATATATAATCACTTTCCACTGTAGTCTTAATTTCACAGTGACATAAACACATGCTTTTCTTCTTAGGCTGTACATAGTCTCAGCCAGTAAACCTGGAGCAGTTTCAGGAAAATATTACATACTACATACTGAAATTTCAGTTTCTCATATAGCTAAAGCTAAAAAATATTTTCTACACAGGAAAGTTTAAGAACTAAAGGTTTTGCTTTAACTTAAAAATATTTTTGGTAAACTTTACAAAATGTACCACATAAAAATACATTTGGGGATTAAATCTAGTCAGTAAAAACCCCATAGCTTTTTAAAATTATCTTAATTTGACAGAATGGACAAGGTTCCCCTTCTTAGAGTTCCTGCTACTGACACCAGCGTTCAGGAGATTCTTAGTTTATTTTCATTTGTAATGAAGCAGTTCAAACATTCAGGCCACCCTCTATTTTGCCAAACTGAAACAGAGACAAAACAACCCTCTGTTTGTCACCATGATCAAAGTAACTTGGAAAGAAGCAAAAAAAGTTGATGATTTACTGTTTTCTGCAATTAAATCTAACAAATGAAGTAAAAAACAAATGAAGAACACAGATAATCTTTTTTTAAGACACTGAGACACAGATGCCAAAGTATCTATACAGATTTGTGTCTAAGAAAAAATGTGAGCCTCTTCCGCTGCAAATTTGTGTATTGGTATATGACCTTATGTCTTTGCACATCAGAAAGCATAAAGAACTGTATACATCAAAGCCAAAACCAAAAAAAAACAAATCATTGTAACAAATGGATACTTTCTAGGTTCCTCAAACAGCAATGAAATGACTTGTCTCATTTCTTACATACCACAGCTTTAGTTATTTAGGTGTTATATATTAGAAACTTAGAAAATTACTTTCTGATTTTCCGTATTCCTAACTACCTGTCAAATATCAAATTACCATATTACCATACAACCTAATCTATCTCAGTTTTCTAGGAAAAAAAAAAAAAAGACTGAGATGATGTACCTGAGATAACCTTAAAAACTACTTTTAGAGTCTCTCAATTTACCAGTATTTCAACAGAAAACACTAAAAGATGTTAGAAGACACAGCAGACACTTAGCAACAGTGCCCTGGCAAAAATTTACCCAGTTAGCAGTCATGGCTCCCTAGTTTGTCTCTTGCCTTCCTGCCTCCCCGCTCAGCTGCTGGGGACCGAACCAACCCTACCAAAAGCAGCACCAGTACCCGTGCCTGGAACAGATAGAGGCATGCAACAATAGGAGCGTTTCTGTTGGTAAAGCTTATGTCAGACTTCCTGCTTTTTTATTAGGTTTGCTATCAACAGTACTAAATCCAAATGTTATCGTAGAAAAAGCCTTGTTCGATTCAAACTTCAGGTGGATAGCTCTCCCTCACTACATATTCAAGTTTATTTCCCCAAAGGCATCTTACAAATTCCTTTTTCAGGTGACCTCATTTTGGATTTTGGAGCTGATCCTCCCCACAGACAGACTTCCACATCTACTGTCTTTTTAACTGTCAGCCCTCTTGCCTGGTCTTTCTGAGGCAGAAACGCATTTTAGGTCTGTTTTAAAGCATGGTCCTCCTGCACATAGCTGTTTTTCTTCACCTACTTCTTAAAAAAAAATCAAGATTTAGAATTTCATATAGCATGTCTTCTAGTAACTGCTGGTCAGGGATTGTATGGGGTAGACTGTACATACATGGTGCAAAATGAGCTCTGAAGGGTCCTGAAGTGTTCTTCTCACCCCAAAGCAGCAGCCCCAGAAGGGACTATTTGCAGGTGGCATTGATGTCGCCAGCTTCACCAGAGTCTGACTAGCAAGGCTTGGCCTAACAGACAATATTCCTCTCCCAGCTTGGATAAGCAGGCAAACCCTTACTGCAAACTGTGCAAAAACACCCCCGAGCGTGTAGTCGCTACGGCTACAGGCTGAACAAGGTCTCCTTGCGCCACCCGACAGCTAGCAGGAAACAAGTATTTTTCTCCGCTAAAGCGTGCTCGCCGGCACGAACCCCTCCGCCTTCCCACAGCGCAGCCCCCCGGCACCCCCCCCGTTCCGATGGGCGCCGGCCGCGCCTCCCAGCGACTGGGAAGGAGGGAGAC